CTGGCGTCCGCCCTGATGGGTCAGGGAGCCCAAGACCTGGGTGGGGGGGACAGTGGGACCCCAGTCAGGCCCCTGAACTCAGGGCTGGACCTGGCTGACCAGCGGTGAGCCTTGCCTGGAGCAAGACGAGAGCACAGAGCCGCCCAGGGCTGAGAGGCAGCACCTGGTGCTCCCAGGGTCCCATGTCTCAGCCGCCCTCAGTGACCGTGGGCTTGTGGCCTCTGGAAGGAGGTGGGGTGCAGCTTGTCCAGCGTCGACTTCAATAATAACGTAGCCAGTTGTTTCACCAGCAAAAGTGAGTTTATTCGGGAATAGCAGAGGAATTGCAGCTCAGTATCTGTGAACCGTGGTGGCCCACAGGCACATCCAGAGAACAAGGAAGGGGTTCTTGCTTTTATGGGGAGAAGGGGGAGCTGGGAGGGGCTGTGATATCCAGAGCCCATTGGAGGAGCTGGGGGTCCGGAGTAAGGAGGCTTCCCATGGGCTGGGCCGCTGCAGTCTCTGATTGGCTGGGCTGCCGTGGGAGGAGAGAAGTTTCCTTCCTTCCTCCGGACGGCTGGGTGGTCCGTAGAGATGCCTTCCTGTCAGGGGCGTGCAGGGGGACGTCTCTTCCTGTTTGGGGTAGTTGATGATGCGCTGAGGGCATGAGAGCTTCCCCTGCAGGCCTGTCCCGACTCCAACTTTAGCTCAGTTTCCTTAATTAATTCCACACCAGGCAGAGAGAGAGCCTGCAGAGAGCACAGCTGGACCCTGCTCTCCAAAGTGAGCTCTAGTCTGTGACGGGTGAAAACACTTCACACACGTGAGCTCTGGTCTGTGGAGACGGACACGCATTTCACAGGTGCCTTGGAAACGCTTAGTTTTGTAAGAGGTGCGTGGGTTTAAGGAAGCAGTCGTGCCCTGAGAATGACTGACGTTTAGGAAATGCTGTGTTTTACACGTGGGTTAACGAAGACACGGCTGGGGCATGACTTGGCCACAGCCCCCGCCACCCCAGGAAATCAGACTGTGAGACGGCAAGCTTACAGTTGACTCCAGTGGTGACCGAGGGGGGCAACCGTAACCTCGTCAGCCCTCCTGGACCAGCTCCGGCCCAGTCCCAGGGTGGCCTGCCCTGACCAGACCTCGGTGACGTGAGCAGGAAAGGCCACTAAAGAGACCACAGGCCCCGCCTTCCCCGGGAGCTGAGGACCGCAGCCCATGGGGGACAATGTAACTCACTGTGGCTGCCGTTCCCTGGGTGGGCAGGCGCACACAGAGCGCAGAGGCAGGTCACGTGATGCAGGAGGCCCCAGAAGCCCCCCGCCCCGCACACGCTCGCCAGGCTTCCTTGGCCCCGGCCAGCGCCGCCTCTGCCTCCCCGGTGGAAGCCCCACCCTCTCGTAGCTGCCCCTGCCCATATGGACACTGAAGCCGGGGCACCACCCCAGCCTTGCCCCCAGCTCGTCCCATCCCGTTCCTGTGCTGGCAGTGCTCTCCACTCTGGATGGGGCAGCAGAAGAGAAAGGCAGCAATCCCTGCCCTCGGTGGAGAGAGAAGCGAAGGTCAGATACACAGCAAGTTGACGTGTGACAAGTGCCTGAAGGAGATGCCCCGCAGAGCGCAGGGAGCGCTTCCCACAGATGCCCTCTGCATCCCCCGTGGGCCTCCCCCGTTGGCTCGTCTGGTCTTTGTGCAGCTGTGAACCAACCTCCTTATAAAACCCGCGTGTTTGAACCTTCGGATGACCCCTGACTCTGGCCAGTACTCCCGCAGCCCAAGACTGACCCTGGGGGCCTCTTGCCTCCTGCCCCGCCTGTCCCTCCCGGAGGTCCAGCAGGGGTGTGCCTCTGGACAGCCCAGCCCACACGTGGAGGGGACATCCGCCAGGACCAGGAAACGTATGTGATGCTCGGTGTTTATTTTCAGAGACGGGGGCTGGGTGAGCAGAGCGGGAGCTGTGGGGTGCCGACCCCGCCGGGGCCCGTCCCTTGACCCTCGGAGCCTCAGGCCGGGGTCCGGACGTGGGCAGGTAGCCGGCCTTGCCCGGACAGGCCTCAGTCTGTGCTCAGCTGCAAGAGGTGTAGCCAGCGGGCACCTGTGCACCGCGGGGCTTCGAGGGGCAGTGGGGGGCACACAGGCCCGCCGTGGGAGCAGCACGGCAGTGGGTGTGCAGTTTTCTCTGGGGCATCCCTCTGACACCAGGGCGGGGGGTGAGCCTGGGTGGAGCGGGTGCTTGTGTTTCAGATGAAGGTCAGGGCCCGAAGGCCAGGCAGGTGGCCAAAGCAGGCAGGAGGGGCTCTGAGGGCAGGTCCCCCCAGCCCGGGGTCCTCCTCAAGCCGACCCTCACTACGCTGTCACCCGCCAGGGCCTGGGTTTCACCTGGGGCAGGTGTAAAGTGGGCGGGGGCAGTGGTATCCACGGAAGGTGTGCGTGGGCTCCCGCGGTTTCCGTGGTTGGTGGTGTGTGTTCTGGCTCCAGGTGGGGCAGGTGGGGCGGGCGGAGGGGGGGCAGAATGCGTCAGACAATGGTGGACCCATAGGTCGGGAAGTTGGGGGTGCTGTCCTCGGGAGCCTGGGCCGAGGAGACGCAAGATGGGCCACAGCTGCACTCGTCCACGTGGGTGTAGGTGTGCTGGAAGGCCGTCCCGTTGGGACACTGCATGGTTACCACCTCCTGGTGGGCCCTGGTCTTCTTGCAGCAGATGCACGGGCACTGTGTGGCCCGGGCCCCCATGGAGTACCTGCAGACGTACGGCCCTCAGGACCTGCTCACCCAGCCACAACCGCCCGGACTGCCCGGCTCCTGGTTTCTCGGGGGTCGGGAGACAGCGGCCCCGTGCCTGTTCCCTGAGCGCTCGGGGCTTCTCTGTACTGGCCCGGGCAGCGCTCTCGGTCACTTTGAACCCCGACCTTCCCCAGCCAGGCCCCCTTTCTTTCCCACAACAGCTCCTCTGACTTGCTGACCCTGTCAGACCCCTCCTCCAGGAACCTGTCCCGGGGCCCTCCAGCCAGGCCTGGACCCATCCTCCTGCCTCTTCCAGCCCGTCTGCTCACAGCTGGCTGCAGCCCGGGCATCGGGGGTGGGGTGGGGCTCTGCCAGCAGCTCTGCCCAGACAGTCTGGTCCCCCCGGATTCTGCCCGTCCTGCACGTGGACTCTGACCTTTGCATGGTAGCCCTGGTGCCCTGCCCCACGTGGCCCAGCCAAGCTCTCCCAGGCTGGGCTCTGGGGGTCAGGGAAGGCCCCAGGGCTGGTGCAGCCCTGTTGGAGCGGCCCTTCTTCCCTTCCTGTAGCGAGCTGGGCCCTCCAGCCCCAGCCCAGCGCCAGGTGTCCGGCCAGGGACGGACACAGACACGTGGGGCACCGGGTGGTGTCCCCGTGTGTCCCGGGGGTGGGGGGAGGCGCGGGCCGCTCACCGGGCCGCTCCTGGGCAGAAGCCCTCGCAGAAGGGGACGCTGACGGCGGCCTGGGTGGCGCAGCCCTGGTGTCGCAGGACCGTCATGCTGGCGCGAACCTGGCAGGAGTCTGGGCAGACGAAAGGCGGTGGAGGCGGATCTCTGAGGTCCCCGCCCGCGCCGCACCCCCACGTCACCTCCCGCTCAGGGTCGGGTTCCGGCGGCGGGGTTGGCTTCGGGAGGAGTCAGTGGGCGGGGCTGGGGGCGGGAAGGCGGGCCTCGACTTACCCACTTCCTCACAGGAGTAGCAGCAGCCGATTTTCCTGAGGATGCCCTGCGGGGGAAGGGGGACAGAGAGCGAGCTGGGGCAGGCGGGGCCTCCTGGGGTGGGTGTGGGTGGGGCTCCCGGGTGGGTGTGGCTCTGGGCGTGGGCGGGGCCTCCGGGGCGGGCCTGAGCCCCAGACACACACCCTGCAGCTGGACACGTCCGGGCATGCGACGGGCGTCGGGGTCAGCATAGGGGGCCCGTTCTCAGCCTGGCAGTGGTACAACGTGCAGTTGTCCACGAGGCTGTTGACCCAGGTCTCATTGGGCTGAAATAAAAGGGGGAGAGTGGGGGCCGGGTTGAGGATTATCTGGTGGGCAGAGAAGAGCTGGCGGGGAGGGTCTCTGGGGCGCGGGGATTGAGACTGAGCCCCCCTTACCTGGACCAGCCGGCCGTCGGACGTGAGGCAAGCCGTCTGCACGCACTCCCCGCAGCACTGCCCGGCCACCCTCGAGTACTGGAAGCCCTGGGGACAGGGGGGGGGGGTCACGTCCCTCAGCCCCAGCCTGGCTCGTCAGCCTCCTGCTCTCCTGCCCATATCCCAGGGGCCCAGGGCCTCCCTAGCAGCGCCTTTCCTCTGTGAGGCAGTGTCCCTACCCTGCCCCAGTGTCCCCTCTTAGCCTCACCCCTGCTTCCAGCACCTTCTGCACTTGTGCCCTCCAGGAACCTGATCCCAGCCCTGCAGGTCCTGCCCCTCGCCCAAGACCCCTTCCACCATCCTCCTGCTTCACTCTCTCCCTTTGGGAAGAAAAAAACCCCAGTGAAGCCTGAGCTGGAGACCCTTCCTGGACCCTAGGGTGTGGTGGCTGGGGGCTGCCCCAGGGGCCTGGGTCTGCCCAGGAGGCTGGCCTCACCTGGGGACAAGTGGTGTCGCAGGCATCCTCCTCACACAGCACGGTCGGGTCATGGGTGTCCACGGACAGGCAGGTGCATGTGTGGCAGGGAATGACCGCTGGGAAGGTTGCACCGACCTGCAGTGGACAGGGTGAGGGGAGGTGACACCGAGGGCCCTGAGGGGCACCAGGGCCAGGACCTCTCCCCGTGTCGGTGAGGCCCACAGAGCAGTCTCTCCTCTTCACATGGGATTACGGATGTACCCGCTGGCTAAGCACAGACCAGGGCAGGCAGGGGCCCCGGGCAGGCAGGAGGGGTGGGAGGGTTCAGTCCTGCCCCGAAGCTCTTGCTGGGAGAGCTAAGCTCCCAGAGGCTCTCTACAGAAGGTGCCTGTATAGGGCCCGGAGCCTCGACTCACTTGCTGTCATGGCGGGAGGGGCCGAATAGAGCTGGGCGTGGGGAGGCGAGGAGTGGACACGGGGCATCCCTCGGCGGATGTGCCCACCCCGGACCCGCTCTCCGCCCTACCCCGACCACCTAGCTGAGCCCTTACCCCATAGACGGTGCCGTTGTAGGTGCACAGCTGAGGCCCTGGAAGGGAAGAGAGGGCTGAGGACCTGCCCAGGCAGCGGAAGGAAGTGTTCAGACCCCCCCGGCCCCACCCGCACCCCAGAGACTCACGGCAGCTGAAGGTGGGGCAGCAGCTGTCCTCCGCCTGGGTGCAGGCCAGCTCCTCTCCCGGCCTACACTTGGGTGGGCTCTGGGGGCACGTGCTTCTGTTGCAGACTGCGGGAGAGTTGGGGGGCTGCCTGGGGTGTCCCTGCCCTCTGGCCTCTGGCTACTCTGGTTCCCAGGGTAACACCTACCCTCGCTGGACCAAAGAGCGCCCCTTCCATGGGAGCTGACGGCTCTCTGCTGCCCTGCAGGGTCCCCACGCTTTGTCACCTCCCCGGTCTTCCCCAAGACCCTGAGTGGTACCAGGGCACACCAGAGGTCATCAGCTTCATTTTTAGGTGGAAAAATGAAGGCCCAAGAGGCCTCCCCACCTCGTGGTCCAGCCAAGTCCAGCTAGGACCCTGCAACCCTCCTCCGCTCTGCAGGCCTGCCGGCCAGGCGGCCTGTGCCCAACGCCATCCTCTGCTGTCTCTCCGCTCCACCCGGTCCCCTGGGGTGCAGGCCTCACCACACAGAGTTTCCATGCAGCAAGGGTTGTCGGCCAGGGGCCTGGTCTGGGCCACGAAGCCGGCCCGGCCGCATTCCTGTGGCTGGCCCTGGGCCTCGCACTGCACGGGGGCGCACTGCACCGACACGGAGTCTTCATCACACACGCAGGACTGACAGTTGCTGACCCACCGCTCTCCGGGCTGGAACAGACCAGCTCAGGGTCCCCCAGGGCTCCTGGGTGGTGCCCCGGCCTCTGGGGCTGCGTCCAGCAGCGGGTCAGGCCCCAGCCCTCAGCCTCCCCATCTCTGGAGCAGGCGTGTGACGGTGATGCAGCTCACGCTGGGGTGCCCACACCAGCCCCTCCCTGGCCCAGGTAGAGCTGCCGCCCCGAGATGGGGACGCCCTCCCTCCTTCTGCTCGAGCAAGGAGTCAGGCAGCTGTGGGCAGAACACTCACGAATTTGGGAAACCCATCTGGTCCCACGCAGGCTGGGAGGGAAGAACGGGGAGAAGGGGGGTCACTGGGAGTGCTGGGGTTGGGGCCCAGCAGGCCTGGCCACCCCTCCCCCCAACAGAGGCCTCTTCTTCCTGCTGGGGACAGAAGCCCCCGAGAACCCGAGGGGGGTGGTCACTTAGGAGGGGGCTCAGGAAGGCTCAAGGCCACCCTGCGCCGCTGGCGGAACTGGGTGGGCGGGGCCAGGCCGGGGCGTGCCCGCCCCCGTGGCCCTCGCATCCTGCTCTGCGGGGCTGGGGAGGGCCCAGGTGTGGGGCTGTGGGGCTGGGGAGGGCCCAGGTGTGGGGCTGCTTACGGCACTCGGGCACGCAGACGTCCGTGTGGGAGTTGAACAGGATGTGGCCGTCAGGACAGAAGCAACCCTCCGCCAGCCCCCTGCTCGCCGGGCTCTGGCTCCTGCAAGGCGACCAGGGCAGTCCGAGGAGGAGTGCAGTGGGCATGGTGGGGGGCTGGGGTCACTCCGGAAGTCCAGGGTCGGAGGTCAGGGTGGGGGAAGGGCACCCTGAGATCTGGGGCTTGGGGTCCCGGACCCTCTGTGGGTCTCCTCCTGGGTCCCCCCAGACCCTTCAGGCCAGCCTGGGAGGCCTGCTGTCCCCACCGTCCTATCCCGTCCCCATCTGCTGGGCTCACCTGGAGTCACAGGACTTGGGCTGCACGGGGCCACACGGCTTATACACCTTGGTGGGCGGGCAGGTGAGGTCTGCGGACACACGGACGGGTGTCAGGTGGGCCAAGGAGGCCAGGGCCCCCGGCGGCCACAGCCGACTCACCGCACAGCCCGCTGGTGGCGTTGCGCCAGTCGGGGCACACGCCCCGGGCGCGGCAGAGCGCAGAGTAGGCCTCCAGGCTCTGGCAGAGCGCTTCAGGGCGGTCAGGGCGGCCGGGCCTGCAGCTGTCGCTGACACAGGTGCTGAAGAACGGGCCGGGCGGGATGAGGCCGTGGCACCCGGCGAACACCCTGCGGGTAGGGCCGGTCAGAGGCCAAGGCGATGCCCCAGGGGTGGCTGCCCCCGACCACCAGCCCATGCAGAGGACTCACGGGCTCAGCATCAGCTCGCAGAGGGGTTCCGGGGGACACGGAGTGGAGGTGGGTGTGCTGGGTGCCGGCAAGGGGGGGCTGGTGGTCGGGGGCAGCCCGGTCGGTGCCCAGCAGCCCTCCCTGCTGCTGTTGGCGACCAGCCAGGACCGGGCCATGTCCTGGCAGGTGGGGGCCATGGTGCCGTCGGGCCGGCGACAGTCATCCCTGCGGCTGTTGGTGCAGGTGCCTGGGGAGGGCGGGGCAGGCGCATCACTGTAGGGGGGCACTGGACCATCCTGTTCTCCCCTTCCATCCCCCAACTTCCCTGGCAGCCAGTCAGCTATGAAACACTGCTTCCTGCCGGGGCAGGTGGCAGGGGGAGCAGGTGGGAACCTGTGGCGGGGGCAGGTGGTCAAGAGCCAGGGCCGCCTGGGGGCGCGTGGCGCAGCGGTGGTGCCCGGCCCCTCGCTCCCCCAGCAGGCGTCCTGCGGGGCCCTGCTCACCACACTGGCCCTCGGTGTTGTAGCTGAAGCGGCTGTAGGACAGCCGGGCCTGGAAGACCTGCCCGTTGAAGATGACGCTCACGCCGACGGCGGGAATCTCGATGCTCATCTCGGTGGCCCCCGTCGCTGTCGCGGTCAGGCCGTTCTTGCTGAAGCTCGACCTCACCGGCATTTGGCCAAACAGGATCTGGGGACGTGACCGGGAGCCCATGACTTGGGCCGGGGGCAGCGGCCTGGCCTTTGGGGCTTTGCCTGCCGGACGCTGGGCCCCCTCCTCGGCATCTGCACCCCGAAGCGCAGATGCCGCCTCGGGCCTGGGGTCACAGTCGGCGCATTTGGGTCCTAGGGTGCTCTTGGCCGCGGGCCCCTCCCATGCTGCTTCCCTGCTCAGGAGTCACTGTGCTTGGGACCCCAGGTCGCAGCGTGCCCTTTGCCTCCCCTGAGGCCCCATGGGAGCTGCCCTCCACGCGGGGGAAATGCGCTCTATGTGCACCAGGGCTCCCGGGCCTCTGCTGGCCCCTGCCTTCCCTAACCAGGTTGGGACAGGCCAGTGCCGCTCTGCTGCCTGCACTCACCAGGCTTTCCTCCTGCCCGTCGGCGCCAGGGGTGGTGGTGAGGACGATGTCCATGGACTCATAGTGGACGCTGAGGGCGCGGGGGCAGCTGGCGGCGGCCTCACAGTAGTGATTGTGTAGGAGGATGCTGAGGTTCCCGTGGCGCGGCTGGATCTCCCGCATGAGGACGTGGGTGCAATTGTCCAGGAAGGAGTAGGAGGTGCCGTCGAAGGTCTCGTAGTGGGTGTCCCCCCAGCCGCTGCAGGAGCCTGCGGGGTGTGGACAGGCCTCACGCAGTGCCACCCAGAGCTGCCACCCTGGGGAGTCACTCAGCCCCCAGGGCCCCAGTCCTCTTGTTTATGACGTGGGTATAGCAGGTTGGATGGGGGCCCCGAAGACGCGTCCACCCAGAGCCTAAGAACGTGACCTCCTTTGGGAAAAGGGTCTTTGCAACTGTGATTAAGGATCGTGGAGTGAGGTCATCCTGAGTCACCAGAGTGGCCCTAAGTCCAACGACAGGTGGCTTTCTAAGAGTCGGAAGAGACGGAGAGAGGAAGCCGCGTGATGACGGGGGCAGAGGTGGGAGGGACGCGGCCACAGCCCGGGGCGCCTGAGGCCCAAGTCTGGAAGGGGCAGACAGGACCCTCCTTTAAAGTTCTGGGGGTAGCTCGGTCCTGCAGACACCTGGATCTTGGATTTCGTCTCCAGGACTGGGAGAGAGTCACTTTCTGTTGTTTTGAACCACCCAGTTTGTGGTCCTTCATTTTAGCTGCCCCAGGACCCCCGGGGGTTGTAAGATCACCCCCTCCCACGTGCTGCTCCATGGGGAAATCTGCTCAGGACCCCTCAGGTTATGATCCCCTCCTCTCCCTGACCTCAGAAACCCCCGGCTTCCCTTCAAACCGCCAAGCCTGACGGGGGGTGGGCTCAGCGACCCCGGGCATTGGGCACAGGGGACATGTGCGTGTCCCAAATGCCTGGCGGCGCATCCCCCCCCCCCAGCGGCGGGCTCTCACACTCGCACTCGTAGCTGTAGTCACAGGGCCCATCCCCGCTCTGCACTCGCACGGGCAGGTGCCCGTTCACGCAGACGACGTTGCCCATTGGCTTTGGCCCCAGCAGGACGATACGGTTGTCGCCCTCACACCGAGCCACCGTGCAGTCCTCCAGGGTCCAGGACTCGTTCACCTGGAGGGAAGCGCAGAGCGCGCAACAGGTGGACTCACCGCCGCCGCCGCAGCCTTAGGACCCCCTCGGCCTGGGCAGGGCTGCCCCGCCTCCTGGCCGGCCGGTGCTAAGCAGGCCCAGACCCCGCGTGCCTCCCTCCAGCCAAGCTAGCTGTGGAGCGGTCACCGAGGGGCTGGGGGTTCGCCCGAGACCCTGTAAGGGCCTGGCGCTACAGGGAGGAGGCGGGAGGCACACCTGTCGGGGAGGGATGGTGTGATTGCAGCCGGGAACTGGGGTGGTTGGGGGAACAGAGGCCGAGGTCCCCGAGGGTGAGAAGGTGGGGCAGGTGCCCTGGAAGCGGTCGATGTCGCAGCGCTGGTTGCAGATGGCTAAGAAGAGGCAGCCTGCTCCGTCGGTCTTGTTGTAGATGACGTCCCCTACGAACACAGAGACACTGGGTCAGCCAGGGAGGGGGACAGGAGGGCATCCCCGGACAGGCAGGCACGTGAACACGGCCCGCAGGACCCAGCGTCCAGGCTGCAGGGCTCCACTCACCTGGTAGGAAGAGCTTTCCGAAGGCGTGGCAAAGGCAGGCTGTGGTGGGGCTGGGAGAGGCGGTGGAGGTGGGGAAGGCCCCCGGGCTGCCAGAGGCCACCCCAGACCAGGAAGGGGTGGTGGGTGGGGACCCGGGGGCGGTCGATATGGGCGAAGTCAAAAGGGGACCTGTAGGAGAGACACTGGGCAAGCCTGGCTTGGTGGTCGTGGGTGGGGACCCCGGGAAGGCAGAGGGACTAGGGGTGGAGACGCTCTCGGTGGTCCCAGGGGAGAAGGGACCTGTCACACGGGTGGGGGTGGAGACCCCCTGGGTGGTTCCAGAGTAGGAAGGACCTGTCACACGGGTTGAGGTGGAGACCCCCTGGGTGGTCCCCGTGGAGGAGGGACCTGTCACACGGGTGGGGGTGGAGACACTCTGCGTCGTCCCCGTGGAGGAGGGACCTGTCACACTGGTGGAGGTGGCCTGGCCTGTGCTGGGTGTGGTGATGGGGGGTCCGGGTGTGGTCTTGGAGGGCCTGGTGGGGAGCTCTGTGACCTGAGGAGAGGCCGTGGGGTGCAGGGAGCGGGTGTTGGGCGTCACGGGGGTGGGCAGCAAGGTGGTCCCGAAGGTGGTCTTGTTCACGTGTGTAGCTGGAGGGGCCGTGGTGGGGGCCCCCGTCTGGGTCACGGCAGAGGTCGAGGGCCATGGCACCGTGGCTGTGGAGCTGCTGGTGGCGGGCAGTGTGGTGGAGGTGAGGTGGGGGGTAGCCGTGGTGGGGCAGTGCCGGACGTCATCGCAGCAGTACACACGGATGTTGTAGTTGAAGCACATGGTGAACTTCCCCCTCTGGTCGTCGTTCCTGCAGACCAGCCCGACCTCCAGGCTGCAGCTGAGCTCCTGCCCGATCTGCTCAATGCTCACCTCGGGGTAGCTCTCTGCCCGGCACTCGATCTTCTGCGGCTGCTGGCACACCTTGCCGCCCGCAGCCCGGATGTTGTCATAGGTCTCCATGTCTCCGCCCCTGACCCCCGAGGTGGGGGAGTCCACATCAAACCACTCTGTCCATTGGCACTTGGGTTGACAACTGGTTGTGCTGGTGGTGGCCCCAGTGGTGCCCGTCGACACCAGGGTTTTCAGCATGCTGGTCTCAGGGTGTGAGGTGGACAGCGGGCCCGTGGAGGTGATTGTGCCCGTTGCTGTTCCCGTCAGCAGCTGAGACGTGGAGGTCTGCGTCGTCACCGACATCAGGGTGGGCCCCCTTGAGGCTGTGTGAGTCGGGAGGACCGACGTGGCAGATGTTGGGAGCGTGCCTGTGTGGCTGGGCCTCAATGTCACTCGGACTGTCAGCCCCATGGAAAGGGAAGGGGCTGGTGTGGCACTGCTGGCGGGGGACGTGGTCACCCCTGTGCTCCCCAGCCATGTTGTGTGCGGCGTGGCTGGTGTCACAGTGGTGGTGGTGCTGGAGGCCGTGGGGGCCATGGTGGCTGTGGCAGCAGAGGTGGCCACTGTGGCAGTAGCAGCAGTGGAGGTGGCTGCAGTGGTGACTGTAGCGGTGGCCACAGTGGGGGCTGTGGCAGTGGAGGTGGCGGCAGTGGGGGCTGTAGAGGTGGCCACAGTGGTGGCTGTGGCAGTGGGGGCTGTGGCAGTGGATGTGGTGGCAGTGGTGGCTGTAGAGGTGGCGGCAGTGGTGGCTGTGGCAGTGGCGGTGGTGGCCGTGGGGGCTGTGGCAGTGGAGGTGGCGGCAGTGGGGGCTGTAGAGGTGGCGGCAGTGGTGGCTGTGGCAGTGGCGGTGCTGGCCGTGGGGGCTGTGGCAGTGGATGCGGTGGCAGTGGTGGTGGGGGGCGTGGGCTCCCCGCAGTGGCTGTACCCACAGCACAGCACGCGGATTTTGTAGTTGTAGCACATCTTGAACAGGCCCACCTGCTCGTCGTTCCTGCAGACCAGGCCGAAGCTGACGTCACAGTGCACGCGCTGATTCAGCTCCTCCAGCCTCACGTTGGGGAAGTTTTCGGCCTGGCACTCTATGCCCTGGGGCTGCTCGCACACGGCCCCTCCCGCACGCCTGATCTTGTCGTAGGACTCGACGTCCCCTCCGGCCTCTTCGGACTTGGGGTAGTCCTCGTCAAACCACTCTGTCCACTGGCAGCGGGGCTCACAGGTGGTGGTGGCCAGGACCACAGAGTTGCTGCCCACTTGGGTCACGGTTGAGGTGGACTTGGTGGTTGGGGTCTGTGAAGTGGAGGCCACCGTGGACAGGAGGGAGGTTCCTCTGGTGGGTGTGGTCTGGGTGGAGGTGGGCAGGGGCTGGGAGGATGGCCGCTGGCTGGTGCCCGGGGCCAGGCTGGTGCTGCAGGGCACGTAGTCGCAGCAGAGGACCCTCAGCTCGTAGTTGTGGCAGAGCGGGGGATTCTGGTCACTGTTGAGGCAGGTCAGCCCCCGGGCCTGGCCACACTCCACCTTCTGACCCAGCTTCTCCAAAGGCATATCCGGGAACTGCTGGGCCCGGCACTCGACATGCGCTGGGGCCGGGCAGAACTGGTAGCCCCTCTGCCTCAGGTTCTCGAATGTCTCGAAGTCGCCCCCTTCCATGCCCGGCTCTGGACGTCCACTGTCGTACCAGTCGGACCAGCGGCAATGCTCCCGCACGCACACGGTGGAGGGTGTGGGGACCGAGCCTGTGGGTGGGGTGCCAGGGTCCCCATCAGCCTCCTCTGCATCCTCGCCAGCCCAGAGGAGAGGTGACTCATGTCCCCTTGCCCCAGCGTTGGCCCCGGGCCATCCTTTGCACCCAGGACACCTGTACCAGGTGCCCACTGGGTTCTCCCTTGGCACCCAGACCATCACCGGGGTCAGGGGCTCTGGTGAGTGAGGCAGGACCAGTGGTGTGTCTGCCAGGCTTACCCGTGGTGGAGGGCGGAGCCGCAGTGCTGGTGAAGGTGAAGGGCGTTGTGGGCATGGTTCCGGGACACTCCTCGGCCTTTCGGACGATGGTCCCATTGTCTCTGCAGATGGCAATCAGGCAGGCGCCCAGCCCATCGGTCGTGTTGTAGATGACGTCTCCGTAGGCATAGGTTCTGCCCTCGTAGGTGCACGTACAGGCTGGAGACGGACAGGTACGGGGCTCGTTCAGAGCCCCCAGCCCCCATCCCTCAAACCAACAGGCCCCCGCTTACCCGCGGGGCTGTACGTGCACTGGAGGCCTCTGGAGGTGCAGTCGCTGGGAGGGAGAGAGAGAAGCGCTGAGGGCCAGCAGGGCGCAGGCCTTACTGTGTGCGCCCGGCCCTGCTTCCTGTCCTCCCAGACCCCACCCCCGCTCCGCCACTGGCTCACCAGCTCCGGCAGTTCTCCGCCGTGGGGACCCTGGTGCCGGCATCATAGTAGTTTCCATCCTCGTCGTAGCAGCCCTCACACTGGGCCACACACTTCATCTGGTCCTCATTGAAGAACGGCTTGCTGGGTGGGCACTTTGGGTAGCAACCTGGGGCGGGCACAGGGCAGGGAGAACACTCCCCTCTCAGGCCAGGCGGTGGGGCTGCCCCGGCCGCCACCCATCTCTGTCCCCCCGTCCCGAGGGTGGGCATGGGGAGGCAGGAGCCCCCTTGCCCCGCTGCCTGCACGCTGTGCTGGGGTGACGAGGCATGGCCTCCCCGGAACAGCCTGCCCTCACCTTCCAGGCCTGGCAGGTCCATCAGGCAGTGCCCGCGGGGATTCCGGCAGGTCCTCAGGCAGGGGGCCCCACAGGGCTGGTAGTGCCACTCGCACTCCCCTTGGGGGTTGTAGTAGTCGCAGAACAGGGCTGAGCGAGGGGGAGAGAGGCTGTGGGCGCCCGCCGGGCCCCGTCACCTCACTCCTCCCAGGTCCGAGGGGTCTCAGGGCCTGCCCCCCAAATTCCTGTCCCCCGCTGAGCCATCCCATTTGGGGAACCTGTCTGTCTGGTTTGTACGCACACAAACGTGAGCACACGCGTTAGTACACACGTGTCACGTGACCTTGTGTGTGCATGCGTGCCCGTCAGGCCCCAGAGCTGGTGCAGCTGCACCTCATGCCGCCACCATGGACAGAGCCCGACTCACGGCAGATGTCCGGGGTCCGCCAGGACATGCACACGCCCGCGTCGCGGCAGGCCTGGGCGTAGGCGGCCACGGCTGTGCAGAAACACTCGCAGTCACCCCCCGAGTCGCAGGCGCACGCGTCGCTCACGCAGGCCTCGTAGTACCTGGTGGAGTCGACCTGGGGGGTGGAGTCTGCTCAGTGAGAAGAGCCAGTCCCCGGCCCCTGGGCAGCCGGCAACCCCCCACCTGCCGTCTGCGACGCGCCCACCTGGGCACCCACCCCTCCTCCCTCGCCTCTGCTCCGCCACTCACTCAGCTGTAGGCCAGCCCTCCCTGTGACCGTGCTGTGACCTGTCCTGGCAAACGGGGTGCTGTCTCCTCAGGGTGAGGGGATGCCCCCCGCTCCTCCCTCCCGGGTGGCAGAGACCAGGGCCACCATGTCTCACATCTGCCACCACGGGCGGCACCGTCTAAGGTGGAGACTGCTGTGTCAGGTGCACAAAGGACTTTCTGAGCCAGCGGGCAGGGCACCCGGGGTGCGGGCGGGGGCTGCGAGCCTGGCGGGACGCGAGGCCTCACACAGGCTGGCCAGCGTCAGCCGCGGACCAGTCCCACTACGCCGCCTGCTCGACCCCCGCGAGTCCCGGATCACGAGACCGAGTCGGTGAGTGGGCCCTGCGGTCCTTGTTAAGTAGCAGGAAGGGCTTCGGGGAAGGCTCTCAGGCCGTGGCAATGCTCCGCTTCCGTGGGGCCCGGCTGGGCTGAGGCCCCCTGAGGTTTCTGTCCGTGCTGGGGGCTGGCGGCTCAGGGAATGTGGGGGAGGACCGAGAGGTGACATTGAGGTCCTCCCTGGGTGGCTCGCAGCCCCGTTTCCAGGGGATGAGGCTGAGTGCCGTCAGGGAAAGCAGAGCAGGACTGGGGACGTGGGCACCTGCCTGGTGGGAGGTCCACACAGTGTGCCGTGTACAATGGTCAGGGTCAAGGCCGTCTTCGGAGGACAGGCCTGGGCCAGACCCAGGTCCCTCCAGGAGGGAAGGAGGCAGCCCCAGCACCCGCTTGGCCCACCTGAGAATGGCAGGCGCTGAAGGTGGCGCTGTTGATGATGCTGCACTGCTTCTGGGCCCAGGACTTGCGGTACGGGTTGGCGGTGCAGGGGTCCCTGGGGGCCTGGGCGTCCGGGCAGGACGGGGAGAATTTCCAGCTGTTGCCGAACTCCAGCACGTCGCCCACCACGGACTGGCTCCGCGTGGTGAAGTCGTTGAGGGCGTTGTCGTCAAAGTTCCCGCACAGCCCGCAGACCCTCCCCTGCAGATGGACGCAGAGATGGGCACAGGGTGGGGCTGCATGGGGTGGCCTGAGGGAGCAGCACAGAGCCTGGCCTGGGAGGCGTGACTGCAGGCCACCCTATTCCCCCAGGCAGCACCCAGTGAACTTTCAGGAAGGCGGGGTGCACGAGGAGTCCTGCAGTGGGCAGGAAGGCAGGTGGGCAGGTGGATAGGCAGATGGACAGGCAGATAGGTGGGCAGGTAGACAGGTAGAAAGGTAGGCAAGTGGACAGGCAGGTGGGCAGGTGGACAGGTAAACAGGTGGGCAGGCAGGTGGGCAGGTGGATAGGCAGGTGGGTAGGTAGACAGGTGGGCAGGTGGATAGGCAGGTGGGCAGGTAGACAGGTAAGCAGGTGGACAGGTAGGTAGGTGGACAGGTAGGCAGGTGGGCAGGTAGACAGTGGGGCAGATGGACAGGCAGGCAGGCCAGTGGACAGGTGGGCAGGCAGGTGGGCAGGTAGACAGGTAAGCAGGTGGACAGAAAGGCAGGCAGACAGGCAGGCAGGCACCTGCTCCCCTATAGAACCTTAGCCCAGCGGGCATGGAACAGCTGAGTGCAGAGACCAGGGAGCCACGAGCGCTTTCCAACCAGGACTGACACGCCCACTGGTCGGTTTGGTCTCAACATGCCCCTTTGGGAAGCGGACATTGTGCATGGCCTCCCCAGCCCTCAGCAGTCCGTCAGCTGCCACAGTGCACTGCTGGGCCAGGTCTAGGAGCAAGAGCTCTGTCCCTCCCCAAGGGGGTCCCGCAGCCTGCCACCCCCACCTTGTACTCCTGGTGCAGCCGAATAAACACGCTGGTCTTCCGGTCCCAGGACACGACCACGCCACTGCGGGTCTCGACAGCCAGGTAGATGCCCATGTAACGGATCTTGTAGGGCAGGTCTCCGCCTGGCCCCCTCTGCACCACCTTGTAGGAACCCTCATGGAGGATCAGCTCATAGTTCTGCAGAGGGGCACGGGGAGGCGGCGGCTGCAGGGAGCTGAGGGGCCAGCTTTGGGGCCGGAGCCCCCTTCCCCCGTGGCCCAGGACAGGGGCTCTGTGGGTACTCAGGGTCCCAATGCATGGGGCTGGCGTTAGGAATGAGCCGGCCTCCTGACACTGTCTGCGAACTTGAGGTGAGAGGCTGGGAGCCCGCAGAGGTGTGTGGGAAGTTGGGAGCTGTGGGCAAGCAGAGTGGGGTGGAGGGCACAGGAACTGCAGGAGGCCAGCCGGCCCCATCTCGGGCCTGCCGCCCATGCTTCTGCTGCCTTCCTCACGCCTCTCCCCACCTTTGGGGTGGGTGGGAAGCAGCCCCCAGTCAGCAGCTCTGCTCTCTGCACTGTGAACTCTGACCACCCTCTGCTAGAACTGGTCACCCCAGGTGTGGGGGGCTGAATGAAGGCCCCCCAAAAAAGACACGTCGAGTTCTAACCCCCAGAATCCGCAAATGTGCCCTGATTTGGAAAAAGGGTCTTTGCAGATGTGATGAAGTGAAGGATCTGGAGGTGAGACCGTCGTGGATTTAGGGAGGGCCCAGATCCAGGTCAGACAGGGGAAAAGGACACAGAGAAGGGGCCGTGTGACGACAGAGCAGAGATCGGGGGGGACACGGTCACAAGCCAGGAGCCCCCAGAATCTGGATGAGGCAGGAAGGACCCTCGCCTGGAGCCTGTGGCGGGAGCCTGGCCTCAGAACCATGAGAGAATTAATTTCTCAGGTTGCAAGTCCCTGGGCTGTGGCTGTTACTGCGGCCCTGAGACCCGAGGCCACAGCTGGAGGTCCAGGGGCCCTGGCTGGGGCTCCAACGGGGCTGCAGAGGGAGGGAGATGGTCCCCAGGTGCCCCCACCTCCAGGAAGATCTTGATGGCCTTGGAGCAGGTGACGCCTGTGGTCCCGCAGGGGACGTTCTCGGTGACGATGCGGAAGCTCCCGTTGCTGGCGTCGTTGCCCGCACAGTAGTCCTGGGAAGGGGAGGAGAGGGACGTGGTCACGCTGGCTGGGGGCGGGCGAGGGGCCGTGTACCTGGGCCAGCATGTGCTGGCCAAGGGAGGGGGGCCGCGTACCTGGGCCAGCGTGTACTCACAGCTCCCCTCAAAGCTGTAGCGCTCGCCATCAAAGGTGATGAAGTGGCCGTCCCCGTAGGCCATGCAGGTGCCCAGGCAGGGCCGGCGGCTGCACTCCCACCTGCGGCCCCTGCAGGTGCTGCAGGGGAGAGGAGGTGATGCCCTGCTCAGGGGGCCGGGCCAGGAGACCACCTCACCAGGCAGCCGTGGCCGAGCCCGTCACGACTGACAAGGACGAGGACACAGTGCCTCTTCCATAAAATAGGAGTGCGGTGTGCCCCTCCCCAGGCTGGAGGGGTTAAATGGAGCAGGGAGCTTGGGGCACGCGGGATCTGACACCCCACCCCCGAGTTGGGCTCCTGTCTGCAGGCTCCCCTAACCCTTGGCGCCTGGGGTGCAGGGCCCACGGCCCTGGGGGCAGCTTCAACCGGCCCTGCCATCTGCTGGGCAGAGAAGGCCAGTCCCTGGGCACCTTCCAGAGGACGAACGGGCCACCCAGGGCCTTCTAGGCCTCAGCTCCTCTCCGGCCTCCTGCCAAGGACATCCTGACCGAGGCCCGCTCGGGCCGCTGCCCCCGTGGCCTCCGCCCACACCACCCCCTCCGCGGCCCCTCCACACACCAGGTGTTACAGTCGACCCTGATGGTCTCCCCAGGCTTGTAGGCGGCCTCGTTGTGCAGGCAGGGGCAGTCCTCCTCGGCCACACAGCCCCCGCTCCCATCGGCCAACAGCCCTGCGGGGCAGACGCAGCCTGACACGCAGCGCGTGCTGAACTGTGGACAGGCAGACGCCCATCAGCGGCTCGTCCGGCTCGGCTCGGGGACACCAAGGGGCAGGGGACGCTGCCCCCCACCCCTGGCCCCGGGCAGCACTGCCGTGCCCTCCCAGCTGACTCACACAGTCCACATCCAGCGCGTGGCAGCTCCGCACACACTCGGCCCCGGGCGTGTCCGCGGAGGCGTTGCTACAGTCCAGGAACAGCATGGGGGCCACGCACCCTGAGGAGGAGACCACGCTGGGTGGGCCGCCCGGCCCGGCAGCAGCCCCTCCCCTTGGTCGTCGGGGGGTGGTGCGGGGCCCTGACGCGGGGAGGCCCGGGGCGGGGGTGGGTAGAACCTGTGCTCTGCTCCACGGCTCCCAGGCAGCTCAGCTTCCCGCTCACACATGAACTACAAGAGATGAGAACGATGACCGGTCTGGGCAGCCGCCCGCGGCCCCACAGACCTCACCCAGATCTTGGCCAGCTGGGCCCCCGGGCCTTGTCATGAGGGGAGGGAGGCGCCTGCTCCGGGGTACGGTGAGGGCCCCAGATCCCCGCGAACGCACTGAGTGAATGAGCAGAGGTGCCAGGAAGGTACCTGGAGTCGGGCGGGAGGGGGTGGGGGAGGCCAGGACAGGGGTGCACCCAGGTGGGCCCTCCAGGGCACACACCATGCCCCCCACGGGCCTCAGACCCTTGGAACACCTTCCCGGGCCAGAGGAGGGGTCCCTCTCAGAACGGCTATGGGGTGCACGGGGCTGAACTTCCCTCCCCAGGGCGTCCTCTGTGTTTTAAAGTCCCCGGGGGGAGGCACGGAGATCTTTGTGTGTGGAGCAGGCGGGTTGGGGGGCATGACATCGGGGAGGGGGTGGCAGCGGGGAGGGGCCTCACCACACCACACCGTTGTCGTGCAGGACCTCCCCTGGAGCCAGCACAGAGCCATGCGAGTAGCAGGGGCAGGCCTCGGCAGGCACGCAGCCGCCGGTGTCGTCCAGGAAGGTGCCCGAGGGGCAGGTGCAGCCGTCCACGGGCACGAAGGCCACGTCGCAGGTGACATCGGCCTGGCTTAGGGAGCGGCAGGTGGGCTGGCAGCTGTCCACCACATAGGCGTAGCTCTGGGTCTTGGGGCAGCTGCTCATGTACTTGTCTGGGGGCCGGCAGGTTACATACAGGTCAGTAGCCGGGCAGCCCATCCAGCCCCGCCTGACCACGTCCAAGCTGGGGCTGGAGCAGCCCGAGACTCGGCCTCCCCGCCGGCTGGGGTGGGGAGGCCTAAGGCTCTCGCTGAGGACAGGTGGGGGGGTGCGCCCCAGGGTCTCCGGTCCCCCCGCATCCCCACCCCGTGCCCCATCAAGCCGGCTGGCGGACACTCACCGCACACGCCGTCCCGCCAGCCGCCGAGCAGCACGCCCCGGGCGGCGCAGGCCCGCACGTAGGAGGACAGGGCCGCGCACATGCAGTCCTCACTCTTCTCACAGTTGCACGTGTCAAACATGCAGTTCTGGGGGGGCATTGGGACGTCAGGGACCCCAGCCCACCAGGGACCCTTCTCTCCGTGTCCATCCTTCCTGGGACCCCCGTCTGGGCCAGGAGACAGAGGGCAGCGGGGCCTCCCGCGGGGAGCTTGGTGTAAGGCCACGGTGGGGTGGGTGGGAACATGCTGCTCTGAGGGATGGGAGAGGCCAGGCCAGGCTGAGGACAGGGTCCAAGGGAGGGGTCTCTGCGGGACCAGAACAGGGCTCGGCTTGAGTTCTAGGTCCGTCATTGGCTGAGCTGCATGTGGGGGGAGACTGAAGGCCGGAGATGTCTGGAGGTGAGTTGGCCGGGAGGGTGCTGGCAGGGGGTGCAGCCCCCCAAAGTGGGCCTGGGTCTTCCAGCTGTGGACACACACTCCCAGGGGCTGGAGTCACTGAGCGTTAGGGCTTTGGCTTCCAGAGAAGCGGCCTGTGAGCGAACTGTCGGGTCGAGTTGTGTCCCCCCAAAGGATGTGTCCACGTCAGGACCCCAGGGCCTGTGAACATGGCCCTGTTGGAAACGGGGTCTTTGCAGATGTGACAAAGTTAGGATGAGGTCATTAGGGTGGGCCTGGACCCACACACCTGGTGTCCTTATGGGAGAGCTTTGAACCCAGACACACAGGAGGAGGCCACGAGGCAGAGGCTGGGGTGATGCAGTGTCGTGGCCCCCAGAAGCAGGAGAGGCAGGAATGACCCCCGGGGGGCCCTCTGCCAGCACCATGATCTTAACCTTCAGGCTCCAGGACCTGGGCAGTGGGTAGATGCCTCCGGCTGTCAGCACCCCCAGTCTGTGGCCCTTTGGTACGGCCGCCCCAGGCACCGAACACACCAGCAGTGGCCATGTCCCTAGAGTGGGATGCCCCTCGGCCACGGAGGTGTGGGCGGTGCTGAGAGAGGGAGCCGGGAGTGGGGCATGTCCTGCCCCCAGCACCCCACCCCACCCAGGGGCTGGCCAGGGGTCTCACCGAGTGGAAGGGCCCAGGGCTGATGACAGAGTGGCAGGACGAGAAGGCCCCAGCAGGGTCGGTCAGCACAGAGCACCAGCGCCGGGCGTAGTTCTCTGGGGAGGGCAGGCACGCGGACCGTCGCGGGCGCAGCTCAGCGGTCACTGACGTTCCTCCCACACCTCCTCCCCTGCACCTGCCCACCCGCCCAGCCTCCACTCGGCATACGCAGGCCCTGTGGGGGCCGCTCCGCTGGGGGAACCGAACCGGAACTGGGGGCTCGCCAGCCGCGCCGCGTGGGCCCAGCTCACAGGGCAGCGGGCGCCCCCCCGGGGGTGGGCCTGCAGCCTGTCGGTGACCCCGCACCCCGCCCCGCTCACCCCCCAGCCCCGGCCACCCTGGAGCCCGGGTGAGACAGACGGGCAGCTCCCAGGCCCGGCCGCAGGGTAACCCGAGGCCCCCCCACCCCCAGGCTGGGGATACCGTTCTCCACGCTGAGGGAGCAGGGGTCCTCAAAGCTGTTCTTGACGTTGGGGCAGGCGGCCTGGGTCTTCCAGCTGTTGGCGAAGGCGGCGGCCGTGCCCTCCACCACACCGCTGATGGTCCGGAAGTCGTCGGCCTGGTTCTGGTTGAAGTTCCCGCACAGGCCTGGGGGCGGGGGGGTGGGCATCAGCGGGCCGCCCAGCTCGGCCCAGGCTCCCGGGAGCCTGCGGGTCCTACGGGCACCACCACACCGTGGCCCCGCCGGAGAGCCCCATCCCAGGATGTTGGTTCCAAAGCCATCTGCAGATGAGCCCTGGTGGGGGGGCGGGCAGCCCCCACACGAAACCCGCTGTGAGGGCAGCGTGTCCTGCTCTCCATCCTCCCGGCCCACCTTCCGGGGCCGGGGCCCCTGCTGCGCCCGGGGAACCGCTGACTCCCCAGTCCCCGCCTCTGGCCTGACTGCCCCCCCCTGCTCCCCCCCCCCGCCCCGCCCCCAGCCCCCCAAGCCCACCGCTGGCCTCACCGCACATCTGGCCCTGGTAGGAGGGGTCCAGCCTGAGGAACACCTGCATGAGGGGCACCAGCTGCACCTGCAGCTGCAGCCCGAGGCCCGTCTGCACCAGGATGAAGAAGGATGACGGCCTGAAGATGGCGACGTTGGCTGCGGGTTGGGGGGGACGGTCAGAGGCCGCCGTGCTGACCAGCCAGGCCTGGGCCGAGGGCTCGGGGGGCTGCCCGGCAGGAACCCCGGCCGCCCCTCCAGGGCCCGGGAGCTGGGCAGGAGCTCGCATGTGTGCTCGGGCCGTGACCGCTGACGCTGCCATGAGGCCGGGCACCGAGTATGCGCCACACGGGTCCCCACGGAGTCACAGATGAGGCCCGTGACAGCCCCACCTTGCAGGTGGGAACCCAGCCCGGGGCCTTTCCGGGACTCCCAAGGCCACAGAGAGCTGGCTCGGTGGCGCCACCTAGAGGTCCCGCCTGGCCGCCGCAGGGCCCGTTCCCTGGGGGCCGCGTACCCACTGCCGCGGGCAGCTGCGTGTAGATGGAGTTCACGAATACCCCGCCGTTGGCCTGGACCTGGATGGTCTGGGGAGAGGAGGCGGGGCCGCGGTCAGCGCGGGGCGGAGCCCGGCCGGCCCGCCCGCGGAGGGCCGCTGCCACCGCCCCCCGCAGCCGGGCCCTCACCGTGTCGCCTCCGTCCAACCACAGCGTCACCGTTCTGAGGCAGTTCTCGTTGTCCGTCAGGCCGCATTTCCGCAGCTCGGCCAGCACGGTGAGGGCGTTGCCTGCACATATCTGACGGCACAGAGCCCACCCGTGTCCTGGGTCAGCCAGCCCCCACCCCGGGCGAGTGGGACTGTGTGTGTGTGGTGCCTGTGCCCAGGAAGCCCTGCAGGGTCGGGGGCCTCTGGCCCCTGGTCACCTCTGGGCAGCTTGTCCAGACCTGGGAGCCCCTAGGCCCCCATGAGTGTGAGCTTCCTCTCGGAATGGAACCCCAGGGGACTTCACCGCTCGGATGGCCGTCATGGAACCCCTCCTGGGGTGGAGGAGGACGGAGGGTCCCGGGAGGGCCCAGCAGGCGGGGCTCACCTTGGTTAGGACATAGTTGCAGTCCCCGTGCACGTCGTAGAGTTTCTCATCATAGGTGGAGATGTGGGACCCGCCCTGGACGGAGCAGATGCCCGGGCACGGGAGGTCCTGGCACTGCCATAGTCCCCCGGAGCAGGTGCTGGGGGGGGAGCCGTGACAGAGGGGCCATGGTGAGGGGGAGGTGAGCCCCACGCGGGGCAGGGGCAAGGCCGGCCGGGGGACCTACCAGGAGCTGCAGCTGGTGGCAAAGGAGGCCCCCGGGGCGTAGGGGCGGCCGCCGTGCATGCAGGGGCACTGCCGCAGGGGCAGGCAGCCCGAGTGGGTGAGGTCGTCCATCACCGTGCCTGGGGAGCAGCGGGGTGGGGAGGGGCACAAGTGGTCAGAGGAGGCTGGGCTCAGGCGTTGGAAACACAGCGACCAGATGGGGGCAAAGGCCCAGATAGGGGGCGGTCCCCAAGGGCCTGGAGGACCTGCCTTGGGGGCAGAAGCAGCCGTCGACGCAGTGGTCCTCGCAGAGCTGGGAGCGCTCAGGGTTGGAGCAGGTGTCCGCGCAGGGTGAGCCGCACTCCTGGTATTGCATGTTCAGGGGGCACGTCTGGGCTGTGGGGAGAAGGACAGGGCTTGGCCCCAGGAAGCCACCCTGCTCCCGCCTTCCATGTGCCACCAAGGGTCCCCAAAGGGGCGCCTCTTGCCCCATCTAGCCATCTTCTGAGTGAGGCGGAAGGGGAGAGGAGCGCGGGGCCCCGAGCCTCCGGGGGCAGCCCCCCCGCCCCCACCTGGGTTCAGGGGTGAGCCCAGCTCAGTGTGCCCAAGTCAGGTCCTCCCTCTGGGCCCTCGGGGGCCCGCAGGCCTTTCATATTCCCCTCTGATCTCCTGCCCATCCTCTCACCGTGGGCCCCCCGAGGGGCTCCACCTGCCCGGATCCCCAGCCAGATGCCAGGTGTCCTGCCTGAGGGTCGCCTCCCTCACACTCTCCCCAGGGACCCAGTGTGGGTGCAGGGCCTTGGGCTCCTCCCCAGTGCATGGGGGCACTCACGGCAGAGGTCAGGGCCCCTCCAGCTCTGCGGCTGTCCCCCGGCGTGGGCACACTGACGAGAGTACTCGGCGAAGGTGGCACATGGGCAGGTGGGGCAGCGGCACAGGTCCTGGGTGCAGGTGGCCACGTACACCTCGGCATCCACCAGCCTGTGGCACTGAGCAAAGGCTGGGCCCAGCAGGGTGTGGCGACAGATGCCCTCCTGGTGAGACAGAGGCTGGAGGCTCTGTCCTCTGTGCGGTATCGGTGGGGACCCCAGCCCTGCAGCCTTTCCCCAGGCCAGGAAGCCCCCTTCCCCTGAGGTTCCAGCCGGCCAGCCAGCCACCTGCTTGCCCATCGTCCATCACGCATCCATCTTCTCATCCCTCCCTCCCTCCCTCCACCCATCTGTCCTTCCAGTCCTCTGTCCATCTGTCCATCCACATATCTATCCATCCATCCCTCCAGCCAGCCACCCATCCTTTTGCTCAACCACTGAGAACTTGCTACTGCTCTGTGCAGAGCTCTGCTTGGTGACCCACGACCCTGGACTCCCTGCGCCCACCCCGGGCTCCGGGACACACCTGCCCACGGTGCGCGTGCCCAGGACGGGTGCAGACCCCATGCTGGAGGCGGCTCAGAGAAGGGGGAGGCGGAGGTGCCCACGGTCAGCCAGCCCCAGCAGGGTCAGTGCCGACCTGTCGCTGACCGTCCCCCTTGTTCAGCCCCCACCCCTGACTAGCTTCAGTTCCCCATTTAAGCCTCGTGGATTCTGCTGGTTTTGGGGATCCTGGAGCTGCTAGGCCACTTCCAAAGGCGGGGTCCTCCCAGCACGTCGGAAGGGCTTTTGCTCTGGGCTTCCTGAGCGCCCCCCTCTTGGTGAGACTGTGTTTGGAGGGGCACGTATTTGCAGGGGTTGCGGGCAGGCACTCACCTCATCTGTGCAGTTGTCAGCTGGGGAGGGCAGGGGGTCCTGGCACTGCTCCGTGGGCCCATCCAGCTTCTGCAGATTCCCAAACTGTAGAGGGGTCAGCCTGGCATCTGCAGAGAGGAGGCACTCCATGCAGGGGCCCGGAGGGGCTCTGGGGGCAGAGCTCCCGCCCATGCTCAGGACCCCCGAAACTTCCCTCTGGGGCATCACTGGAAGCGTTGCCACCCCCCGATTTGCTCCCTGCCCAGCGTCCCGGCGAGGCCCCCACCCTGCGCCCCAGCCTCCCTGGGACCGTCCAGCCTGGGCTCGGCCACCTGCTGCGCACTCACTGTGGGCATAGAACTCGTTGATGGCCGGGAGCCCATTGAAGTCCCCGCACAGGCCGCAGGTCTGGTTGGCATACCTGGGGTCCAGCTCCAGCTGGGGGCGGGGGAGGGGCAGCTCTAGCTTCTGCGGGCCCGCAGGGCCCCCAGCCCCCATCCACCCAGCTCCCGCAGGGCTGCCCCTGGGTGGGGAGGGCGTCGGGGTGGGCAGCCTCACCAGGGCGCTGTCCTCTCCGTTCCACGTGAAGGTTAGCATCAGCCGGATGTTGACCTTGACGTAGGCACTGCTCTCCTCCACCAGGAGGCCGGCGCGGCTGTAGGGCAGCTCCTCCCTGGGCCGGAAAGTTCGGTGCTCCCACGGGTCCAGCGCCCTCCCCGCCAGCTCTGAGCCCAGCCCACCCTGGAGCCTGGCCCCTCCACACCCGGGCAGGCTCACCGCCTCCCGTTGACCAGGATGGACCCGTTGGAGACCTCCAGCACTAGCCCCTGCGTCTTGAGGGTGATGTGGGTGACCGTGGGCCTGGAGCCCACCAGGCCGCGGCGGAGCTGGAGGTTGAAGTCCTCGTAGGCGGCACCGCAGTGCGCGGAGAAGACGTAGTTGCACAGCCCGGGGAAGCGGAAGACGTCGCCGTCGAAGGTCTTGTAGTGGAAGTCACCCCACGTGCTGCACACCCGCCCGCCATGCGCTGTGTTCAGGGCTGTGGGGAGTGCGTGGTGGGGGAGGGCAGCCTTCCCTGGGACCAGGCCCCTGGTTTCGGGGTGGGGAGCCGCCGCCCCCTTCCTCACTCCCCTCTGCTCCGGATTCTCCCATTCCTCCGACACCAGCACCCGGGTCAGCCCCCAGCAGAACCATCTACAGGGATGGCTCCCAGCCACGCCCAAGGCCCGGCTCCAGCCCAGCTCCAGCTTCCCGGCTGCCCACACTGTCCCGGCTTTATCCCCAGGTCTGTGACCACCCCCTGAGGCTGGCAAACACCCCTGCCCCTGTGGGCAATGGGCGGCGACCACTTACAGCTCATGGTGGGGAAGCCAGTGATGGGCGGGATGAAGGTCACACGCCGGGCTGCAGAGTGAGCCGGGTCACACCCGAACATGGCCGGGCAGGGACCAGCCAGGACACCCCTTCCCAGGACTGCCGTCCTCCTCACTGGCTACCCCGGGGCAGCAGGGAGCCGCAGGCCAACCCTGGCCCAGCCAAGGGAGCCCAGGACTAACGCTGTCCCCTCCAGGACCCTATCCATCTGCCCAGGACACGCTCCTGCCCAGGTCTGTGTGTTTCCCCGATTGTGTGTGTGTGTGAGCATGCGAGTGTGTCCACGCCTGCGAGTGAGTGGGTGGGCATTCATGTAAGCACAGACGTGTGGGTGTGAACATGTGTGTGCACACGTGTGTGAGTGCATGTGAGCATCTGAGCCCGTCTGCTCCATGCCTTTGTTTTCTTAGGCCCCCTCCGCTGTCCCGTCCTGTGGGCAGATGGGATCCAGGAGGGTCTCTATGTGGCACGTAGCTAATGTGGCAAAGCGTCCACCCCCCACCCCTGCCCAGATCCCCTGCCAGCTCTGTGTGGGGCCCTTTCTACCACTGTCCACCCTCTCACCGTTCATGGTAGCCTCCTGACTCGCCCAGCTCTGCTCCGCGCTGCCCTGGGTCTCTGTGGGAAAAGGGAACCGGAGTCCATGAGAAGCCTGACATCAGCCACCTGTCCCTTGGTCTCCAAGGGCTGCAGGATGGTGGCCACGTGAACAGCACCCGATGCCGGGATGGGAGCTTCGGCAGGGAGCTGACCCGCCCTCCCCGTCTGCACCGCATCTCGCTGTGGCTCAGGGTAGAATGGAATCAGGAAAAGCTGTTGGCCTCACTGACCCCAGGCCACCCCGGGAGAGCGCTCGGCCCCATCCACACATCCCTCAGAGAAGGACAAAGCCTGGCTTTGTTGGGGAGAAGGACACACACGGCTGAGTAGGCTCCCGGGCGTCACTTAGCAGAAACCCAAGACCAGAGCCAGCTCCACCGTAGAACTACCAGCCGTGGCAGGTGGGAGGCCTGGGGGGCCCAGTGCCGGCACGGCTCCCCAGGTCACCTGTGTGTCCCCCGCCACCAGGCACAGGTGCCCCCACAATCTTGATGGACAGGACTGTGCCCCCCTCCAGGCCCCTCTGTCTCAGGCTCAGGCTGGAGCACCCCGCTCTCGGGCTAGCGCCTCCGAATTCCTTCATCACGTCTGTGGGGGTCTCCATGCTCGGCCGAAGCCGGCGCCTCTTCGGGAGTGGGAGGGGCAGCCCCAGGGGTCCCCATGTCCCCGGTGGCGCTGGGGCTCGGCTCCGCAGCTACCATGCCAGCCTCCACTCCCTGTGCGACTTTCCCGTCTGGGACACCGACATGGGAACCACAGGGACTGGCCTGGGATTTCTCTCTCCTCTTAAGGGCCCTAGTTGACTGCGTTTCCCAGAAGCGTGGCTGCTCCCCCGTCCGCCCCTGACCCCCGACCTGCGGCCCCTCCCGCGTGTGTCCGCTGTTGTACCCACCCCACGGTCGGGAAATCAGGGGGCTTCACACGGACAGGCTCACGTGGCACACCCTCCTTGGGCCAGGTGACGGCCCAGTGAGCCTGGGTCCAGCGCTTGGCCAGAGAAATGCCTGCTGTTGACCACCCCATCACGCTGTAGTCCGGGTGCACATCGCCCTGATGGGAAGCCCCCCCCATGCAGGGCCCAACCTCACCCACCCCTAAGGGGGCTTCAGCCCAGGGGACACCCATCTGAGGCAGGAGATAGATCGGCTCCAGGCTAGATGTTTACAGCCAGCCTCCTGTTTACATTTCCCGAGGCAGGAGGCAGGTGGGCTCCAGGCTAGATATCTACATCCAGCCTCCCGTCTGCACTTGGAGATGGAAATAACAGGAACAGGGTAAAAAGCTGGACTTTGCTTCTGGTGGATGCTTTAAGGTAACAGTCGTGGCAGGAGCAGAGAGGGGCTAACCCTTGTTTGAGGAAAAGATCAAGAGATCACGTATTTCCCATCCCTGGGGCAAGGGAGACACTGCACACGCGCAGAAAGGCTCCTTGGGGGTCAAAAAGGAGGGGGCGCCACCCCCTAATAGGTGATGCCAAGGCCTCCCATAGGCCTCTGGGCTGTGATCCATCTTGGCTAAAGGTTGCGCACGCATGTTGGGGAGGGTCCTAGGGCGGTTAAGGGTGTGGAAAGGGAAACCGGATAATCGGCCAGAGGTAAACAGAGACCCGGAAGAACTGCCCTGTATGAATGACTTCACCGCCTCTTTCCTGGGGTCCTCCTCCTTGGGGAGGCGCCCACACCCTTTCTCTCTGGGGGAGGTGAGTGGTTAGGATTAGGGTATCTCTGCCTTGCTTCTGTCTTAACTAAACAAACTGTTTCTCTGTGAGCTCTCCCACAGGTTGTGCTGTGTCTCTAGTAATAAACTTTGTACCTGTTTTTACAGTTTTCGCCTCCCTGAGAAATGCATTTTCCAGTGGGGTCAAGGGCCAGGGGAACGTTGCTTCTGGCCCTGAGCCCCTGGGGGACTAGCAGCTGGGATTCCTGGTTTTCATCCAGGCTGCCCAGGCCCACTTCCTGAGCAGGGAACTAGGTCTTGCTTCAAGCCACGGCTCACTGCTCCATCTCCCAGCCCATGCCCGCCACGGCACGCGTCTCCTTCTGACAGGAGCACAGACCCATCCCAGGGATTTACCCCCAGCCAGAGGGAGGGGAGTGGGCTGACGGCAGGCCTGCTGCCCCGGAGCTGAGGCAGGCTGGCCGGCCACCCAAACCGTGCGGGACCCCCACCGGGAGCTCCCATGGGAAATCCCCCCCCCCCCCCCGCACCCAGCCCAGTTCGCCCTCCCAGAAAGGCGGCTTGGGGCAGGGGCTCTGGGAGACAACCCCCTCCCCTTCAGCACCTCCCTGTCACAGAGGGAGAGAGCCTCGGGCTGGTGCCCACCTGCCCAGACCCCCGAGCTTGGGCTGAGGTGCTGTAGAGGGGCTGCCGGAGCAGTCCATGGGGCCCGGGGACGGAGGGGTGGCCCCCAGTGGCCAGGGCTCCAGGCCAGCCCAGCTGGGTGTCCCCGGCCGCCCCAGGCAGCATCTTTCGTGTTGACAGTAAGCGCTAGGGCTCACGGTGCTTCCCCGGCTTGGAGTGCCACAGGGCCAGACAGGCGGCAGTCAGGTGAGGACGAGAAAGGCCGCAGGGCAGTTATAGCTCCAGGAGCAGAGCCGGCGCTGGGATGGGGCTGCCGTGATGGCCGTGACCCCGGGCCAGCCCAGAGGGCGGAGTGTGGGAGATGCAACCCTGCTGCTCTCCCTGCCGTCAGGCAGCTGTGCCGTCCCCTGCCCGCTCTGCTCTGGGGGCCTCACGGGAACCAGAGAGAACCCCCAGCCCAGTCTCCTCACCCAGAGCCCCCCCAACCCCATCCCGGAGGCTGAGACCCTCAGTTTCCCCAGGGGGACCTAACTTTTCCCAACGCAGCTGGGCGCTCCGGGGGGGCCGGGAGTCTGGCGCGTGCAGGGCCCCACGGAGGACACGCTGTGCAGTGTCAGCAGGAGACACACAGGCGAGTGGCCTGCGGGGGCCGACGAGATGGAGTGAGGGGCTTAGGCCTTACCTGCTTTCTGCACCAAGGGCAGGACCACCAGGGCCCAGGCCAGGGCCCGGCACCTGCTCTGGGCACCCATCCTGAGGGCCGGCACGGCGGTGGGCTGGCGGCGAGGAGGGAGTGGGGCACGACGCTCGCTCCCCTGGGGGCCCTGGGGCTTATATAGCGGGAAGCCTTGGCCCCGTGCCCAGCTCCTGGGCCACGCAGGGTGCTGTCCTCTCCCCACGGCAGCCACGTGTGTTTGCTCTTGGGGAGGGGCCGTGGCACACAAGAGCCTAGAGGAGGAAGGATCTGCGGCTCTGGGCCCCAGAGGTGCAGGACCCCTCCCCCACGCCCCAGCCCACCGCTTCTGAGATCAGGAGAGAAAGCGTGCACGGAGCCGGAGGGTGGCGCTGGCAAAGCCCCCACAAAGCAGGGCCGACTCGGCCTGCCTGGGTCCCGCCTTGCTGCAGCCCCGCCGCCCGCGATAGGATGGGGCCCGGGGAGGGTGCGGTGTGTGGGCAGCAGGCGGGCTCAGACCCCGGGGCAGCACCTCCCGGGAGCCTGGCTGAGGCGGTCAGGGGGGATTGGAGGGGAAGAGGCAGCCGTGGGGGAGCTGCCCAGAGGTGCTCACCACCCCATCCCCGAGGGGTGAGCAGGGGCTGCAAGGCCATCACTCCGCCTGGCGGGGGCGGCGGGGGTCCTGCTCGCTGCGGGGTGTGCATGCCATGTATGGAGGGGGATACCAGTCTGCAGGCTCCCGGGGGTCCCAGAGCTCCCAGCTGTGCCAGCAGGACCCTGCCAGGCCTCTGGGCTCCTCTCTGTCACCAAGTTCAAACTCAAGGGGAAACTGAGGCCCTGAGGATGGACGCCCTGGCGCGCACGCCGGGACTGGCCAAGGCAGGGCTGGGGGCTCCCAGCCTGGGTCCTGTTTGACCCTCGCCTCATGCCCAAGGCCGGCTGGTTAACCCCAGGGAAGGGGCACAGAGGAATCCCAAACCCACCTGGGGTCCCCGGCCAACGGCAGGCTGAGCAGGGACCCGTGTACAAAGTGATGTGGCCCCGGGGCCCCCCGCAGGGCTGACGGGGGGCACTGGGGGACCAGGGATCTCTAAACCCCAGTACCTGCCCCAAGCGGGAGCCACGAAGGCCTGCTCCCCTGACTGGTATGGCAGGTTTTGGGGGGCCCTGGTCAGTGCAGCCCCCCAGCCATACTCCTCCCCCCTGTCCACTCCCTCCTCTGGCTCTGGCTCTCAGCCACTGGGCGTCCTCACCCCAAACCTGCTGTGTCTGAGCACAGGACGGCTGGGGGGGCGGGGTGCACAGGCCCCCACCCCCACCCCTGCCCTGCCCTCCGCCTTTGTCTTTCGGATAAGTCCGTTGAAGTGGAATTTCTGGGGAAAAGGGAAACCCCATCTTAAAGCTCTAAACGTCTTTTACCGACGTCATCCCCCCAGCTTGGCCAATGGCCCCACAGGTCCTGCGTCTCCTTTTGGTTCCTGGTGTCTTTGGGCCGTTTCCGGCACCGGCAGCAGCATGGGGGCTCCTGCAGACCTAGGCCCTGGGTCTCAGCTCAGGCTCAGACCCCACTCACTGCCCGCTTCTGGGACCCCAGGGCAGGCGCTCAGGCTGCCCTCCAGCTGTCCCTCCCCCATCCTCACTGTCACCTCCCGGCCTGGGGTGCGTGATCTCCAAAGTTCTCTTTCACAGCCAACCCAGTTGTCCCCTCTGCAGAGGGCACAGCTGGAGGGGCCTCTGGGGGAGGGCTGGGTGGGGCCCCTTGCAGAACAGGCCTGGAGGGTGCGCTGGACCCCTCCCACCACCCTCCTAACCCCGCCCTCCCGAGCTCTCAGGCTGTGGCTGGGCCTGGCCTTCCTGCCCTCGCTCCAGGCCAACAGCTGGTGCTCGAGGCCGTGGCACCTGGTCCCTCATGTGGGTGGGGAGTGCACACAACCCGGACCCCTGAATCCACCTGAAGGAAGGAAGGAAGCAGGGAATCTGGCCTCCCAGACTGAGCCCCCGTGCCCGCCTTCTCCCCGCTCCCGAAGCCTCAGCTCTCAATCTGTGCCCCTGGCCCAGAGCTGAGCTGGGCGCCTTCAAGGCTGGTACATCCCTCCGCCCGCCCTGGGTGGCCAGCACCACACAGCCATCAGAGGGGCCCCGCCAGCCCCAGTGCCCACGAAGGTCGGCCCCTCGCTCTGCACCCGCCAGCACCATGTGTGAGCAGCCTGGGCGCCTCGGCCCTCGAGGATGTTATCTCTTCAAGCTTCAAGGTTATCGTCTGCCCCCCCCCCACCAGCACCCCGGAAGGAACACTCCATGTGGCAGGGGCCTGGCCCATCTGTTCACAGCTGGCACACAGTAGGCACTCAGTCAGTGCACCGGAAGACTGAGGGGGCGGACGGCTGTGCCATGGCCCGACGCTGCCCTTTCCCCCCCGGAGCACCACCCTCGGGCAGGGCTGGCCGTGGGGGCTGCCAGGGTCACAGGATTGAGACATCCCGGATGTGGACCGCCAAGCCCAGCCTGTTTGCCCAGCGAGTTTACCCCTTCACAGTTGAGAGAGCCGAGGACAGAAGAAGAAGGAAGCGAAGCGTGAGGCTGCTGGGAAGGAGAGCCCGGGCCAGGCCTCCCGGGGCTTGGGGAGGCCGCAGGGACGTGCCAGGGACCTGCCCCGCCTGGGGCGCACCCTGTCCCGCGCTCAGCCTGCAGAGCCCGCAGGCAGACGTGATCCCACCCCCCAGAAAAGACCCCACACACACAGAGCCCAGAGCTGGGCTGCCCTGGCCAGTCCCTCGGCCCTGTTGGAAGCCCCTGGAGGGGTCATCACAGAACGCTGGGCGCCCTTCTCAGCTCACCCCTCCCTGCCCACCGGCCTCTCACCACAGCAGTGCGGAGTCAGGGCCAGGGGCACTGGGGTGCATCAAGCTTCAGGCATTTATCGAGTGCTGGCTGTTTGCCCAGCTCCACACTGGACACCATGGAGGGTTCAGGAGTACAAGGTATGGCCCTGGGGGCGTCAAAGGCCTGGCTGGCTCTAGGCCTGCTCAGAGCCTGGCCCCGGGCCGTCTAGGGATGCAGGCCTTCTGCACCTGCTGCCTCCGCGGGGAGTGGAAGCCTCCACTTGCCCGATGGAGTGCTCCCCACCCTAGTCCATACCCGGGTAGTGTAGGGGGGTGGGATCAGGCTCCACCGGGGCATCCTCGTCCCCAGAGCGGCCACCATGGTGAGAAAGGCTGTGCCCACTCCCCTAACCCTGGCCCAGGGCTGCAAGAATGTGGAGACCCTCCCCCAGGAAGCCCCTGCCCTGTGTGAAGACCAAGACCCCCCACCCCCACCCAGCATCTTCTTCTATTTCCTGGTCTTCACACAACCCCTTTCCTTGCCCGTTTCATCTCTCCATCCCTCTCACCCTCCTTCCCTCCTTCCTTTCTGCCTCTAGCAAATTCTGAGCCCCAAGCCCTGGGGATTTGACGTGGCCAAGGATAAGAGAGGGCCCCTTTGGAGCTCACAGCTCACTGGCCATATAAGGGAGCAGTGAGAGCTTTGAAGGAACCAAAGCTCTCTGTGGGGCTAGGGTGACATTGAGCTGAAGGAAGGGGAAGAGGCAGCCTTTAGCAAATTAGGGAACAGCAGGTGCAAAGGGCCTGGGGCAGGGATCAACATGGCTCCTTGGAGGGTCTGAAGGCACCTGGTGTGGCTGGTACTGGGGCACCTGCAAGAGGGGAGCTGGCTGTGGCGTGGGCAAGGTTGGACCAGGGGAGGAGTCAGGGTTTACTCTGAATTTGGGGGGTACAGTTTACTGGAGCATTTAAAGCAGGGAAACCATAGGGGATTTTTTTTTTTTTATCTGTGTAGAGAAATGTATATAACTTAAAATTTACCATTTTAAGTGTACATTAGCTGGCATTAAGTACATTCACAGTGCTGTGCGACCATCACCACTACCCTCTCTAGACCTCTTCTATCATCCCAAAGAGACTCTACCCATTAAACAACTCCCCCTCCCTCTCCCCCAGGCCCTGGCCCTGGCCCGGTCCTTCCTACTTTCTCTCTCTGTGAATTTGACTATTCTAGGTCCTCGTGTAAGTGGAATTGTACGGTGTTTGTTTTCTTGTGACTGGATTATTCACTCTGCACAATGCCTGTAAGGTTCATCCACATGGTAGCCTGTGTCAGAATTTCCTTTTTTTTGGGGGGGGGGGTGTACACGGGCCTCTCACTGTTGTGGCCTCTCCCGCCGCGGAGCACAGGCTCCGGACGCGCAGGCTCGGCGGCCATGGCTCACGGGCCCAGCCGCTCCGCGGCATGTGGGATCTTCCCGGACCGGGGCACGAACCCGCGTCCCCTGCATTGGCAGGCGGACTCTCAACCACTGCGCCACCAGGGAAGCCCAAGAATTTCCTTTTTTAAGGCTGAATAATACTCCATTGTATGAATAGACTACGTTTTGTTTATCCACTCATCCTTTGATGGACATTTAGGTTGTTCTCACCTTTTGGCTATAGTGAATAAGGCCATGACGTCATCAACATGACGGTGTGAATATCTGAGTCCCTGCTTTCAATTCTTCTGGGTACATACCTAGGAGTAGAATCACTAGATCATATCATAAGTCCATGTTTAACTTTTTGAGGAATCACCAAACAACAGAAGCATTTTACATTCCCAGCAGCAGTGCCCAAAGTTTCCAATTTTTCCACATCCTTGCCAGTGCTTCTTATGTGCCCTCTTTTTTAATGATAGCCATCCTAACAGGTATGAAGTGGTACCTCACATGGTCCTGATTTGCATTTCTCTAATGGCTATTGATGTTGAGCATCTGTTCCCGTGCTAATTAGCTGTTTGCATATCTTCTTTGGAAAAATGTCTATTCAACTCCTTTGCTCATTTTTGAGCTGGGTTGTTTGTTTTTTTTGTTGTTGTTGTTGAGTTTTAGGAGTTCTTTTTTTAAAAATTAATTTATTTATTTATTTATTTGGCTTCGTTTCTGTGCGAGGACTTTCTCTAGTTGCGGCGAACGGGGGCCTCTCCTCATCGCGGTGCGCGGGCCTCTCACTGTCGCAGCCTCTCCCGTTGTGGAGCACAGGCTCCAGACGCA